TATATATATTCACACAGTAGAAAATACTAAACTACCCTTAATCTTGAAATAATGCCTAACATAACAGTTTATCCTGGCTGACAGGGATAAACTGCCTGACCACTTTTTGACAATGTTTGATAATGCTATAACACTAGGTAGTGAAAAATTTTAGTACTCAATTGTTTGTGCTGAATTTTTAAGTTGCAAAATAGAATTTAAGGATAAATCTGTCACTATCAGTTTAATTGAAAACCGTCCTTCCAATTAGTATATTCTGCAGTGATGAGTCAAGGCCTCCTGACTAAATTTTTTTTGAGAGGTAAAGAAACAATTTTATTGATACAAGGTGTTAAACTATTACTTTAGAGAAAGGAGAATTGGACAAGTCACCTAACCAATAGCAGCTTACAAAAACAAAAAAGAGAGTAGAAAACAATGTACAAAATCCAGCTACAAATCAGAAGGATCTCTTCCCCCTGCCAAAACGTAAAATAGGGGCATCGCCTCAAAATCCTTGGTAACCGAAGCCCCAAATGATGCAAAAAATATATTTGCTCCCATAAGTCCATCACTTCACATTTATCTTCAAACATGCACGCATTCCAAATAAACCAAATTGTGGCACGAAATGCACAAAGAGTAGCTCCATTCTTTTTTGTCCAATAACAATTGTAAAAGTTCACAATGAACTTAGAATAGGATGAACAAGGAGTAACCCAGCTCAAGCCTACCAAATTAGAAAATTTGTCCAACAAAGACAACGCAACAGGAAGTGCAAAAAATAAATGATCCACACTTTCATTATCTAGTTGACACATAACACAACACTACGGAGAAGTACAAGAATGAGCTCTTCTCTTTTGAATCATGCCATTATTATTAATCCTACTATAAGCAATAGTCCAAGCACAAACTTGCAATTTAATTGACACTTTAGCCTTCCATATCAGCAAGGATGGGAAAAAAAGTCGACATGAAGGAACACCAATAAATAATGCAATGAAGACTTGCAAGAAAAACTGTCCGAAGAAACAATTACCCATTTTCTTTTATCAAGGGACCCATGATCCAAGTGTAAATCATTGACCAAAGATTGGAGTGAGACTCATTCACAATAACTCCATTAGCAAGATTTCTAAACTTAAAATCCCAAGAGAATGAAAGGGAGGTAATCAAATAATAGAAGCAATTAAAGTATCATGAGCACAAGAAATATGATCGAGACGAGGGAACAAAAAAGCAAATAATGAGTCTCCCAACCACATATCCTCCCCAAACCAAATCATCATACCATTACCCACTACCAGTTTGGTACTTAGAAAAAACAAAGGTAATCATTGAGAGAGGAATTTTCACGGGCTTTGAAAACTCTCCCTCTTGGCCCCATTAGCGTGGTTCGTAGCTCATTTTTCTTTTTGATATCCCAATGCCACATATTTTGTTCGAATGAAATCTTCATAATCATTTTCCATCTAAGGCCATATTCCTTTCTATTGAGTTTCCCACCTGAAAAAACCACTTTTAGCTTTAGATTGAAAAACTAATTTGCAATTAATCAAATGATATTTTTTTCCTCCTACACTTCTTTCCTTTAGAAAATTGTTCATCATTCTCTAAATCCTCCTTGGTACCATACATGACATCTCGAGACAAAGATAAATGGGACCACTAGGTGAGACTGGTTAAATAGTTAACGTTACACTTCTCAAAATAGGTGCCTTCTTCCACCCATCCAACCTTTTCCCCACCTTTCTAGTGATTGACTCCACAAAAGCAAAAAATAATAGATTACCATCTAGTTGAAGACCCAAATATTTGAAAGGCCACTCACCCACAACATGCCCCAAAATTTAGCAACCTTCTCATGATGAGAGTTTTTTTTCCAGCAATTGAACTTTTATCCATGCTAATTTTTAGCCCCATAAATTATACCAACACATCAACAACTTTCTTAAACTTCAATAAGTTTTCATCATCCCCCTAAGCAAATAATATGACATCTTTAACAACTTACAAATACAAAACATAAATCCTTTCCTTTCCTATCTCAAATCCCTCCTCAAGATTATAGCTTTCAATCCTCTTAATTAACATATTCGATCCATCCACCACTAAAGTGGAAAGAAAGCGTTAAAGTATCCCCCAATCTAAGTCTTTTAGATGCCTTAGATCTACCCATGGGGTTACCATTTAGCATCACCGAAACTTTCATTGGTTGCAAGCAACCTCTTATCCACTTGCTCCATTTATCCCTAAATCCTTTTTCTTCTGATTTAATAGCGAAGAAATTCCAATCTTTATGATCATTAGCTTATTAAAAACCTATTTTGGAAACAATAGCTCCTTCCCCTTGGATATTTACTCCCCCACTACCCAATTAGCCACAAGAACTAGATCTAATATTTTTCTACTCTTAATAAAAGCTCCTTAAGACTTCGATCTAGTATCACTAAGCACCTCCCTCACTCTCATACCTAACACTTTTGCAATGACCTTGTATAGGTTAAAGAATAAACAAATGAGAATAGCATTCGAAATTGCATTCACCACACGATTATGAAAAAATTCTGCACCTTTATTAGATCTTCTTTTACCACATCATTCCTGAAAAATATCCACTATGAATGCTTCGAGGTCAGGAGCCTTATATGCCTTCAAACTCAATAATAGCATTTTTAAGTTCCTCTTCCCAAAAAGGCCTCTCCAACGAATCTGCTCCCCAATTCTTAGTTGGGCTCCAATCTAAACCTTCAATTGTGGATCTCTTACTCTACCGAGAAGTATAAATTAGCAAAAGTCAATGATCTAACTCTCAATGTTTTCCTCTTTTTCTACCACCATACCATTTTCAAATTTCAACTTATTGATGAAGTTTTTCTTCCTCTTCCCATTCTCCACTCTGAAACAATTTTGAATCATTATCTGATCCTTTTATTCATTTTACTTTTGCCTTTTGCCTCCACTTGATTTCTTCTTTAAAGACTACCTCCTGAAATATATTCCTAAAGTCCATAGTTATACTTAAATCACCAAACACTTCCTTATTCCACATTTTTATCTTACATTTAGAAAATTCTGTTTTTCATAATATAAAGTTCAAATCTTCTGAATTAAAATTTTACTCAGCATAAACAAGAAAATATGGAGTAAGGACGGAATGCAAGGAATATATTAACAATATTGGTTAGCCTAAAAATAAACAATTCAAGGTCTGCCACTGCTCTTAGTAAAAGTTGGTTCTCTTAGTTAGCTAGTCAAGAGCAGCATCACTAAACATGGTGGGTAGACCGTAGATCAATTCCCTCTTCTTGTATATCTCCTTTGCTAATAAGCTGTATTCGGTGGGTTATTATTATTCTAGGAAACATAGATATGCACACATGGGACAGGTCATTGCAAGGCACACATGACATTACACCAAATCTTAAAAAAGCAGGACATGGGAACGACGAGGGCACACTACGGCTAAGTGTGCTATGTTTACTAGTTTTTGTGTTATACTACATAATTGGATAACATGCAATATTTGTGGTCATGCTTTATGATAAGGAAATCTTAAATCATTTTGGAACTCTTTGAAGCACAACAATCAATAGTCACAAATATCGAACGTAAAAAGAATGGCCGTCGTACACAGTTTTAGCAATTCTTTCATATTTCCATGTCCCTATCTTTTACCAAAGTTTCATGTGCCTTACTTTTGCCGTGACTAACATATTTTACCAAAACTTTAATGTCACTACACCTTACAGATGTATGATAGACATTGCCCAAAGGAGTAGTGTACATGTGACCAAAACAATGTTGGGCATGTTTGTGGAATTCAATTTCCAATTTTTTTCATAAAAAGGCGAAGAGAGTGTCGGACACATGTTCCTGAGTTTCTGTAAAGTATTCGTCTGCCACTTTTAGAATAGCCATCTACATGTAACTCTATGACTTCTTTTCTTTTGTTATGTCACAAAATGAGTTTGAGAGGGGCAAACACATTAGACAGTCTTAAAATTGACGTGCACTATAGAATTCACGTTATTAGTCAAAGAGGCCTCAAGGCAAGATGTGGATCTAATTATTTGACTGGGGGGACATGGTACGTCAAGGAACATGACTGGCCTTTGTCCTATGCTTTTTCCAAGTAATTTGAGTCATCCAAAACATGTTTCCTGGTGAGAGTGCATGCCATTCTTTTTTTCTCATACCTTTAGTTTAACATAATGATAAAAAAGATTCCTGAATAGACAAGATTGTATCAAATTTTCCCATACATCAACACCAGGGGATCTGATAAGTTGCTCATGTGTGCTACCTTGATTTTACTGCCTTGTGCCTTTATGTAAAGAATCTAATCCATTCAACAGTCATGTTATCGAAGTGAATTATTGTCAATCACTCCTGGTTTCCATTTTATTTATTAGTCGGGACAGTGGGACAAACTCTTGGAAAAAGAGGTCCTCTATGTAGTTTAATTACACATTCTTTGATCAAGTAACAGAAAAAAAAAATTGATTGCATACTTTTCACCCGGTTGACTTCTCACCTGCCCAGCATACTTGTAGTCTCTCCAGCTATACCATATATCTGATTAAAGAACTTGTCAGCTTTGCTTGCTTACCTTTGAAATTCTCAAGTTTTTGTTCTCACGATACATCTTGTTGTGGAAGAAAAGAGAAAGAATAAAAAAAAAATACAAAGATGGGATATCAGTGCCCTGAGATGGTTATTGTTTTTGTGACCTCTGTACTACTTTGTTATGGATACGTTGGTAAAGATCATGGGAAATTAANAGCTTTGCTTGCTTACCTTTCAAATTCTCAAGTTTTTGTTCTCACGATACATCTTGTTGTGGAAGAAAAGAGAAAGAATAAAAAAAAATACAAAGATGGGATATCAGTGCCCTGAGATGGTTATTGTTTTTGTGACNCAGCTTTGCTTGCTTACCTTTGAAATTCTCAAGTTTTTGTTCTCACGATACATCTTGTTGTGGAAGAAAAGAGAAAGAATAAAAAAAAAATACAAAGATGGGATATCAGTGCCCTGAGATGGTTATTGTTTTTGTGACCTCTGTACTACTTTGTTATGGATACGTTGGTAAAGATCATGGGAAATTAAATTTACATGCTTTTGTTGAGCTTGATGTGGGAGAAATCCACAAAAAGAACATTTCATCTTTTCAGTAGGGTGCCTTGCATATTAAGATGGGTGTTGCCAAAGCATGGCCATTTGGAAACGTTATCAGATCTCAGTTGCCAACTTCTATGTCTGATTATTGCATGCAGTGCTTTCACTTTTTGCAGTGCAGTGATACATCTACCTTACCTGTTTAATCTTTCTTTTTTATTGGTCCTTCTACTATGGTTTTCCACCTTTCTGGCTGTCGCAGTAAAAGATTCCCTCCCACGCAATGATTTTCTTGATTTCTTTGTTGTGTTTTATTGGACATAATTACTTTTGTGAATTCTACCTTTTCATGCACTGCTTTTGTTTGTTTTATTAGATGATACTCTTTTTGTTTCTTGACCGTAATTGGAAAGATGTTTGTGATCGATGGAGCTTTTATTGTATTTTTCTATTTTCTTTGACTTTGTTTGTATTTGGTTTGGATACCTTATCCACCATCTTTTACTTACTAGCTTTCTATGAAATGAAAGTCTTTGTTTTTATAAAAACTCTTTTCCTTGTTGAGTCTAGGAAATGCTGCATGATTTGCTTGGCTATGTGCTCCCTGCTTGTAAGGCTGGACTGGAGGATCCTGATGATGATGTAAGAGCAGTTGCTGCAGATGCTTTGATACCAATTGCATCTGCTATTGTTTCATTAAAGGGTCAAACACTGCATTCTATCGTTATGCTACTTTGGGATATTTTGCTTGACCTGGATGATTTGAGTCCATCCACTAGCAGGTATTGTTGCACATTTGTGGTTTCCCCCTTCTTTTCTGATCACATTATTCCAATGTTGTAGTATGCTGGTACCTGCCCCTTCCATAGTAATATCTTTTACATGTGTAATTATGAAGAAAATTTTGTATTTCGCATCCAAAGATTAGGGCCACCCAAAGTTGGTTTATGTGATTGAGGGGCTTCTTCTTTATTGCCAATTGGTTTTGGGTTGGATGCCTCTAATGACAATATAAGGAAATGGCGAACAGATAAATTGTAAGCAATCATATCCTGGTGCAAACATGCCCCAGATCCCAACCCATGTGAACTTTGAAATTCCCGATTGAGGATATGAGGCTGGCTGCAGTAGTATTACTTTTACGGTTCATTATGTAGCCATTTTACGGTTCATTACGTACCTATGTATCCTCTTGTATATTGCCTTCCTTCCAGTTTTTGTCCACATTATTTTGTCAACTTTTAAGTTCTTTAATGTTGATTGTTTGTTGCCATGACATGACCTACTTTTTTGGCCTTATCTCATCTTGTCCTTGTCTGTAGTTACCTTTAACTGGTAATTAGCACCNCCCACATTATTTTGTCAACTTTTAAGTTCTTTAATGTTGATTGTTTGTTGCCATGACATGACCTACTTTGTTGGCCTTATCTCATCTTGTCCTTGTCTGTAGTTACCTTTAACTGGTAATTAGCACCTTCATTTACATACTATTATTTGTTTCTTTGCTTGTCATTTGTCCTGATACCGTCACTTCTAACGGTGCAGATTGTGTCACATGATTCACACTTTGTTTCCAATTTTTAGCCATTTGTACGATGGCCAAATGGCCCTTTTATTGATTTTAAACTTCAAGATGGTTATCTTTGTCATTGCATCTTGTGATATTAATGTGCTTTGTGCTTGTGATCATATTCTATAGGTATAATATCGTAACTGATTCCCCAAACTCTTTCGATTTCCCAAACTCTTTTGATTTCTTAGCATGCATCCATAATTTTTACTAAATTTTGGCTTAGTTTAGTGATCGATGAATTTTACTCAGAGAAGCTTTGTGTCGCCTCAATTCATCTGCTTTAAATGGTGACCTAATGCTGGTTAGCTATGTTTCAATGTTAGGTTCTATACTTTTGGGATCTCAAGATCTGGACCATTGTGTTACTTGTTACTTTTGTAGTCCATTTTTTGTTTTCTTTCCTTTTTTTGTTATAAAATTAGAAGTGCATTGGTATGTGCATAGAGTTTTTGTGATAAGTGGCTTAATATGGTTGTATTATTGGAGAATCCAATTTCATGCTTTCCTTTTGCTATTTGGTGGGCATAATTTAAATTATTCTTATAATTCTGTAATTTGGCTCTGTTCAAAATTTAGGTTCAGATCCCTTCTTGAAATAGCAGGTAATCATTCATGATAGTTTGGTGTGTAGTATTTAATCATGTTGATGTAACCGGGCTCTCGACAATTTCATTTAACACAGGACATACAAGTGAAGTGTTGAAACTCAAATAAAAGAAACAATGCTGCTGTTGATTTTACTCAAATGATGAATTTTCAGATTCCATGTGAATATAACTCATGAGAATTGACAGAGTTTATGAGTTTGCAGAGAACTTCCATCGAATACCAGGTGGCATAATATTTTCTGATGTAACCTGGAACTTCCAAATATTTCATTGAGGATGTAAACAGCTGAACATTATGGTATTTTTTTACAACAATTACAGGATAGAAATTCTGTAGACCCTACTGTTGGTTTTTCTCTTTGGGTTAGAATACAATGAGGAAATGTGTATGGATGGAGAAGACAGATGGGTATTGGAACGTTTGGAAGAAGGGGGAAGTGGAGGAAAACCCTTGAATCCCCTAGAGGTCTTGAGTCCACGAGGGATAGAAGAGAGAGGGAAAAAAATTGGGTGAAACTAAGAATCCACTAGAGAGAATAAGAGAAAAGAGAGGGAACAATAAAAAGATCCAATAGAGAGAATAAGAGAAAAGAGAAAGAGCAGGAGAAAAACGAAGGATGGGACAACAAACAATAGAGAGCTCAGGGCTAGTTGTAGCATTCTGAAATTTTACATCTTGGAGGCGTCTTCTCCTGTTGTAGCTTTGATGCTCTTTTGTAGCATCTCCAAAATCCTAAAAATATGTAAAAATTACAAAAATGAAACCAACTCAATAGAGTAGCTTGTAAAGCCTTCAAATTTACTCTTGGACATTCAACTCTATCCTAAAACTGAAAATACAGCAAGCTTCTGTAATGGAACTATAACAAGACTCTAATAACTAAGATATGCTTGAGTTCTTCCTCCTGCATTAGATGTTGATATTTCTTGATCTCTTTCTGAGCTGATTTTTTTTGGTAAAGAGAACTGAGTTTATTGAAAATTTTATGAAGGGTTGTTTATTTGTCTTGCAGCGTAATGAATCTGTTGGCAGAAATTTATTCTCAGGAGCAGATGATCCCTAAGATGCTTGGATCTCTGGAATCAAAAGAAAAACAAGAATTTGATCTTAATGAAGTTGATCATGTAGATGATCTTGGAGAGGGAATGAGTTATCTGGAAAATCCCTATATGTTATCAACACTGGCACCACGGTTATGGCCCTTTATAAGGCATAGTATCACATCAGTTCGCTATTCAGCTATTCGCACTTTGGTATACTTTTCTTTTATGCCTTTCAGTTGTTGGTTGCTTACTTTCGACATTTGCTAAAACAAATGACTCCAATCTTTTTGAAAGCAGGTTGATATGCCTTTTGGAATTGACCTATAATTTTTGTGCATATAGAACTTCATCTTTATTTGGTGCAAGTTGTAATGTTTTCCTTTTATACTTTTACATTTATATATTTGCAATGTACATTGTTTGCATATGACTCATATTATTGTCCTTGAGTTGAATTTCTCGACTTTCATGCAGGAGAGACTACTTGAAGCTGGATACAAACGGAGCATCGCGGAGTCCTCTAGTTCTTTTTGGCCATCTTTTATTTTGGGTGATACCCTCAGAATCGTTTTCCAGAACCTGCTGCTGGAATCAAATGAAGAAATCTTGCAGTGCTCTGAGAGGGTTTGGAGGCTCCTTCTTGAGGTTTTTAATTTAACAAGTGTTCATTTAATATAGGGCAAACTTCATTTTACCTCCCTATGGCATGCTCCAAATACACTTTACGTCCCAGAGATTTAAAAATGTCCACATAACCCTTGCATGGTTTGTGGACTAAACTGCACTCCTAACTCTGTTGACAACACCAGTAAAATGACATTAATACCATTTCCTCTATCTTCTTCTTCAACAGACTCCCTACCCCTTGCTCTGGCAAAACACCCAGCCCACTGTTACGGCATGCCTGTTGCAGCTGCAACCTACGCCACCATAGTCAAGGTTCTTCTACACGATTCCAACCACAGTCACCCATCAACCACCCCTTCTCAAATTCAGCAACCATAATTGAGAACAAAAAGGAAATTGAAAAGAAGAGGAAAAAAGAAATTCAAGTACCATTAGAACCAAACACTTTTTCTTGTTTTTGATTTGTTCATGTTCTCCAACCCTTCCACCCACACCCAGATAGCCATAGACGTCGTTCACAACACGCATGACCACCTCCCACAGCCACTATGACCACCACCCAATTCATATTTCACCACCTATAATCAAACCCAATTCATTTTCACAATCCATAACCACCATGGCCACCTCCCACAATCAAACACAACTCATTTTACTCCACAAACATCACCCATGACCAAAACCCAAATCAAGCACAACCACCACTCCACCACTCCACCACTTCCTCACCCAGACCAAGCTGAAAAGTGTTGTCGCCAGAAGAGTTGAGGCTTGTTGAGGGATTCTACAGAGATAAAATTAACAAACTAGTTGAAGTCCTTGAATGCATTGATAATGGTGGAGACCAAACACTTTGAGTATGTAGGGACGATGCAAAAAATCAAAACATTTTGAGTATGTAGCGCTAGTGAGATAATGGTTGGCGGCGTAGTGGGGAAGAAGAAAGAATACAATTTGTAAAGGTGATCGCTCTAGCCGGAGGCAGATGACTGATTGGAGAAGTGGAAAGACGATATTTGGTAGACGGGAGGCAATGGGCTTGCAGCGTGATTTCTGTGAGACATAGGGGGGGGATGAGGAGACTATGACTCAGATGAGGGTTATGAGTGTATTCTTGTCATTTTAATATATTTTGTTAAAAACAACTCTCATAGACCGCGCGTCACTTACACGATTTGTTAAATTGGATGAAAAGTCTGATGGTGCAGTTTAGTCCACAAACCATGCGAGGGTTATGTGGACATTTTTGAATCTCAATGAGGTCAAGGGAGGTCAAGTGCATCGGGGTTATACCATAGGGAGGTAANAAAAACAACTCTCATAGACTGCGCGTCACTTACAAGATTTGTTAAATTGGATGAAAAGTCTGATGGTGCAGTTTAGTCCACAAACCATGCGAGGGTTATGTGGACATTTTTAAATCTCAATGAGGTCAAGGGAGGTCAAGTGCATCGGGGTTATACCATAGGGAGGTAAAATGAAGTTTGCCCTTTAATATATAAAAACCATTGTCAATCTCAAATTTCCCGTTAGTAATAATTCTAAAGCTCGATGTGGTTACAAGTATTTTGTTTGCAAAATGCTGTTTTATGGAAAAGGAAAAGGTGGCTACTTGATTTGTCATGATAAGATAATTGTCAGCCAATTTTCACAAGTTACTGCATGCTTAGAGCACGTGTAATAACTGTATTTGTTGACTTATTATCCATTCTGTTGAGTCCTTAATCTTGTTTAGTCCCTTCATCTGATATTTGTTTTTTGCAATTGATGCTAGTGCCCTGTGGAAGACTTGGAGGGTGCAGCGAAGTCCTACTTTTCTTCTTGGATAGAGCTAGCAACCACTCCATATGGTTCACTACTAGATGTTACAAAAATGTTTTGGCCTGCAGCCCTTCCTCGTAAAAGTCACTTTAAAGCAGCAGCTAAGATGAGAGCTGTGAAGCTTGAAAATGACTCTTGTCGAAGTATTACCCTGGATTTTTCAGTAGGTACTGTTGCACAGGAGAAAACTGGAGATGCATCTACCAGCCCTGTTAAGATAATCGTTGGTGCTGATGTGGATATTTCAGTGATGCATACTCGTGCAGTTACAGCAACAGCGTTGGGAATTTTGGCTTCTAGATTGCGTGAGGTTTCTTTGCAATATATAGTTGATCCCTTATGGAAAGCCCTTAACTCTCTATCTGGAGTCCAGCGGCAGGTACTAGATTGTGCATTGAGTACATACAGTAGAGCAGCCCCTGTTTGGCTTTTCTGATCACTTTCAGTTTAATTGTTCCTTATATCAGGTGGCTTCCATGGTTCTTATTTCTTGGTTCAAAGAAATAAAAAACAAAGACCTTTCTGTGACCAACGGAGTTATCTCAGGCTTCTTTAGTAATTTCAGGGACTTACTGTTAGATTTTTTAGCATGCTCTGACTCTGCATTCCCTACAAAAGATTCACTTCTTCCTTATGCTGAACTTTCAAGGACATATGCTAAGATGCGCAATGAGACCCTTCAATTATTCCGTGCTCTAGAGTCATCTGGCATGTTTAAAGATCTATTGTCAACTATCAAAATTGACCTGGAACGCATGAGTGCAGATGATGCAATGCATTTTGCATCAAGACTTCCTTTGCTAAATAATTATACTGCTGGGGATGAATCTGCTGAGAGGATGGTTGTTGATGAACTAGAGTCATTAAAGCAAAGACTTTTGGCTACTTCTGGCTATCTGAAATGTGTTCAGGTATATTTGAGATGTATTGCATCCTATTTGTTGCTTCCTGTCCTAGCATTTGATTTTACAAATGGACTTTCCTTTTGGTTTTTTGGTTAAAAGTGCCCAATGGTCTATTGAATTCCTTAATTTCACTTATTTCTTCTTATTTATTGAACAATATGCAGAGTAATTTGCACGTTGCAGTCTCTGCTTTGCTTGCTGCTGCTGTTGTTTGGATGTCAGAGCTTCCTGCCAAACTTAATCCCATAATTTTGCCTTTGATGGCTTCTGTTAAAAGAGAACAGGTGATATTTAATTAGTATGTTTGCTGTGATCAGAACACACTTCTAATTCTAACTAATTTTATTGCCTTTTGTCTTGAAGGAGGAAATACTGCAAAATAAGGCTGCTGAGGCCCTTGCAGAACTTATTTATCATTGCATTGCACGCAAACCTGGTCCCAACGACAAGCTAATTAAAAACCTTTGTAGTTTGACTTGCACGGATCATCGTGAGACTCCTCAAGCTGCAGTCTTAAATTCCATAGAGATCATTGAAGACCAAGATCTCCTCTCGTTCGGAAGCAGTATGAGTAAACAGCGGTCAAAGGTTCAAGTAGCTTCTACTGAAGACCGATCAATGGTGGAGGGCTTTATTGGCAGACGAGGGTCCGAATTTGCATTAAAGTATTTGTGCGATAAGTTTGGCAGTTCATTGTTTGATAAGCTTCCTAAGTTGTGGGATTGCCTTACTGAAGTTCTTAACCCTGGTAGTCTTGACCAGCTGACACGGGCAGATGAAAATCACATTTCTCAAGCTATTGATTCCGTTAACGATCCTCAGATCTTGATAAACAATATACAGGCGAGTATCATCCTTCATTTTTATTTTTTTTCCTACTTTAGTTCTTTATTGTAATACTTGAATTACCTGCCACTCTACCATCTTTCACCCGACATTGGCCGCAACACTGGGTTTTTTTGGAAATATGTCCTTTAAGAAATTTGCTTGGTCATTTGTGATTTGTTTACTCAAGATGTGTGTCTTAGTTTATGATTAGTGAAACCTTTGTTTTGAAGACTTTACTGTGTTAAAGCGCCAATACAAGACATACAAAGCAAAGAACCAAAACCAACAGAAAAAGAACCTATACTAAATACAAGGGGGTTTCTAAAGCCTAAAATCTACAAACCACTAACCCCAAGGTTCCCTGAAAAATCATCAAATCTGTCCATGGTGAATAAGGCCTAACATACTGGTTAGAATATAGGCAACATTTCAAATTTTGGTGAGGCTGCAACTTGTCCAACTTTATTGTCATTTTCTTCAATTGTTTCCCATGTACTTTTTTATGTCCTTTTTTTCCCCAGTGAGTGTTATTCTTTTTTGCCCTTCGAAGTTTTTCATCTCTCGGTCATCTTTTCTGAAGGGGAAAGCTAAATGTGCATATTTGGTAGGGTTCTTCATTTAATCAGTTACTGCAGGATGATATTTCAGGTAGATTTCACCACAGGGATTGTAGGTTACTTTTCTATATTTTTTTCATCCCTGATTTTGTTCAAAAATTATATAGTTCTGATTGTTTAATTCATTAGTGACCAATAATGGGATGTGAAAGTATAGAACTGTGATTTGGAATGTTGTAAAACTGTGATGAAACTGATTTTGGTTATTGCCTAAATTAAAAATGCACCAGTAACTTTATACCAAACCAAGAAATAGAAAAAAGCAAAAGAAAATCAAGTGTTTGCATGTAAATGCGTCATGATGACGTAACCTTTGATTCTGTATATGTGTTTACGGTTTCCTGTGTTTATTGCTATTATTTTTCTAGGTCTGGATGTGTCTCTAGCCCTTGCATAGATAAATCATTCCCTGGTTGTTGAAAAAGGAAAGTATTTTTTTATGCATTTGACATGATGTCATGCATTAGCTTTATAGGGGATTTTTTCTTTATATGCAACCTCTCAAGTCTCGTATAATTGCTAACTTCTTTTTTTTTTTTTGGGGGGGGGGTGTTTCAGTTCATTAAAGGGGTAGAAAAGAATGGAGCATTAATTTAGCTACTGATGGAGTAGTCTGTTGTTTGTTTATTTTTTTTTAAAGTACTCCCCCTTTGATTTTTTTATTTTTTTGGGGGAGATGGAGATCTTAGACAACCCTCACAATTGAATCGAGAACGGAAGATATTGCCCAAGATTATCATCCTACATTCATATAGTATATCTTTGTCATTGCGTATATTGTGTTCGGTCTGTTTGATGCTAGAGCATTACTTTGTCACTAGGGATGCAAATGAACCTAACCGAGCCGAGTACTTGGCTGTTCAACCACCTCAGGTCAATTTTTCTTTGGGTTGTAGCCCTATTATGATGGATGCTTTGCTAACGCTTCTTTGGCTTTAATAGTTTGCGTCTTTTGTTGTTGAATTTTTCATTTCTTATTTGAGTGGCAGGTGGTACGTTCTATTGCTTCTGGGCTTGACGAGACATTGAGACCAAAACTGCTCAGACTTCTGCCATGCATCTTCAAATGTGTGCGCCATTCCCATGTTGCTGTTAGATTAGCTGCTTCGAGGTGCATAACATCAATGGCCAATTCAATGAAAGTGAATGTGATGGGTGCTGTAATTGAAAATGTCGTTCCTATGTTAGGTGATACGACATCTGTGCATGCTAGACAAGGAGCTGGCATGCTTGTTAGTTTGCTTGTTCACGGTTTGGGTGTGGAGTTGGTCCCCTATTCTCCTTTGTTAGTTGTTCCTCTTCTGAGGTGTATGAGTGACTCTGATTATTCTGTGAGACAGAGTGTGACTCACAGTTTTGCTGCCCTCGTACCTCTTCTTCCACTTGCACGTGGAGTCTCCCCACCCGCCGGCCTAAGTGAATCTTTATCTAGAAATAAGGAAGATGCACAATTTTTGGAGCAACTGGTTGACAACTCCCACATTGACGATTACAATCTCTCCACTGAATTAAAAGTGACTCTGAGGAGGTAGTTCTCAAATCCATGGTCATATGTTCTGAGAATTCATATATGTGTCTATGCTATTGTGCGTCTTCACGTTAGGTTTTCTTTGTGTTTAACTTCCTGTATTGTTATGACCACTTCAATTAACTTTATAGTTACGTTGCTTTTGTTTGCTTGCTGAGGTTTCTTGGTGCAATTTAAAAAATTCAAGATTATCACCTGTTTGTGAGGGCCCTTCAAACAAATAGCATGTGTATGATAGAATATATGAGCACCATAATGGTAAACAAAGAATATTAAGGCTTCTACTTAATCATGTTTATCTTTGTTTGACATACAATCTCAATACTGTCAGTGAAGTGACAATGTCACATTCGATCCATATTTGAACCCTTATAAAGTTTTGATCCCCACATACCCTTTATTCTACCTCTAGAAGTTCAGGATGAATTCTAGGAAATCTTTCCTGCTTGCCTGATACAAAACAGACTAGTATAATTAAGGCAGGAAAAAACTAGTACAATTAAGGGTGGGAGCTAAATTTTGAGGGACAAGGGCTAGCTTTGGTTACTAAATTGTCTAGACACGAAATAATTAAGGCTCGGAGCTAAAAATTTTAGTTCATAAGAATGGGTTATACTCCAATAGTTGGTCAGTAAAATGTTCTGATAACAAGTATTTTTAAGCTATTGGGTGTTAAAGGCCAAATGTGTAGGAAAGTTAGTCTTTTGGAAGTAGGTTTAACATCTAGATGAAATAACTGAAATTTGCAACTAAAAGCTGAAACTATGTTTATGTTGGTTAGTGAGAGAGAAGAACAAGAATGGCAGAGAGATTTTGTCTCGCATGGAAAGATTAGGATCAAGGTTGATTTATATGGTGGATAGGCCTCCCCACCATTGCCAAGTGGTTTTGAGTTGGATGCTTTGATAGAGAAAAAGAAGAATCTTCTAGGAATGTAACCCAGGATAAATTTGGCATTACCCCTAGGGTTAAGTTGCACACTCATCCCTCAATCTTTGGATCTCTATATTACGTCTTTATTGAATTGATTTTTTGTAGGTTGATGGTAGTCTCCTGATTTTAGTATGTTTCAAAAACCTAAATATTTCAAGCTTTTGACTATTAAGTCAATTTTAAATTTCTGACATTCGGCAANTAATTGATTTTTTGTAGGTTGATGGTAGTCTCCTGATTTTAGTATGTTTCAAAAATCTAAATATTTCAAGCTTTTGACTATTAAGTCAATTTTAAATTTCTGACATTCGGCAAGAAGGGAGGAGTGGTGAACAGCTGGGCCAAAAAGTATAGACAGGGGGTTACAAAATGATGACCAGACGTGTTTTTTTTTTTTTGGGATTGGATGGCCAGACAGATTCATTAATATGGCTTAACCCAAAATAGGATCCTTGGGCATTTGCACAGCTAATGTCAAGAAAAGTCTTGGCACTTACCTGGGATTCCAGCAACGTATGAAACTATAAAGGGGGCTATACCCGCAGGTCTAGCACCACACTAGCTAAATTTACCTGAGGGTATAACTTGACCACAACCAAATTGATGATGACCCAGTGATACACAATAAGCACCAATCTCCCTAAGATGCTCTGCCTCACTTAGTTACATGTCATGTACCAATTTTATTTATTTTTAATGCCAAGCTGGGAATGAGTAAATAGGTACGAGTTTTATAGGTCTCAGCCCGAGTAACTGTTGCTAATGATTTTAGAAGGTCCTAGATGTGTGATTTCCTTCTCTGTTTCTCCTACTTCTTCATGTACTTCCATTGCTTCCTATATTATCTCTATCATGTATACTCCATATCTGCTTGCAAGGCAACTCATGTTCTCAAGGATGTCAAGATTGTTCTGCATCAAACGGTTATCATTTGTATAAAATAAAGTAATGTTGATTGACTTATTAAGTAATGAAGCTTTGGAACAGAGGAGATGCTTCAAGTAGGATTTAAGCCATTGATATCTTTTGCTCTATCCTTACTAAAGTTTATTTGCAATTGTGTTTTCTACTGGTTTGTCTGAATGTAGGTATCATTGTTGGACCCTTTTAAAATCGTTTCACTCATTCACTTGATTCTTTTCTTGATTCATACTTATAACTCTCTGAGTTATCTTTAGCATAAACTGTTCTGTGGATATTATGGATTTTGCTTTTTCATTTAAAAGATATATGTTTTGGCTTGGTTCATTTTGGTGATGGTCTGTAATTATTTTTATGTGCTTCTAGGTATCAACAGGAAGGTATAAATTGGTTGGCTTTTTTGAAGCGCTTTAACCTTCATGGAATCTTATGTGATGATATGGGCCTTGGTAAAACTCTTCAAGCTTCAGCAATTGTGGCATCTGATATAGCGGAATGCCGTGCTTCACATAATGGCAAGGCCCCTCTTTCGTCATTGATTATTTGCCCATCAACACTTGTTGGACACTGGGTCTATGAGATAGAGAAGTTTATTGATGCTTCTGTTATAACAACTCTCCAATACGTTGGGTCTGCCCAAGAGCGCATTTCACTTCGACCTCAATTTGATAAATATTCTGTCATTGTAACCTCATATGATGTGGTCCGCAAAGATATTGGTTATCTCAGTCAGATTTTCTGGAACTATTGTATTTTAGATGAGGGACATATCATCAAAAACTCAAAGTCTAAAATCACAGCTGCTGTGAAACAGTTGAAAGCCCAGCACCGCCTCGTACTGAGTGGAACGCCCATCCAGGTTAATTACTAGTATAAGCACTCACCGAGGGGAGTAAGAATTTACAGTTTGCCTGACAAACAGTTTACCATGTATTGCAGAATAATGTGTTGGACCTGTGGTCTCTTTTTGACTTTCTCATGCCTGGATTTCTTGGAACAGAGAGACAAGTATGTGGCCATATTTCTTATATTCTTTACCAATTTCCTGTCTGGTGTGCTCAGTGCAGTATGTTCCTTCTTATATGCTCTCTCTCTCCTCCCCCCCCCCTTCCCTCTTTATTATTGAAGTACCTTGCTCTCTCCTAAATGTCTTTTTTATGTATTTTCTTTCTTTCCTTTCCCCTCCTTCTCTTCCGCATGCCAGCATAACATGGTATGAGACTTTTTCAACAATTCTGTCTATCTGTCTGTGTGCCTGTGTACATGCAAGAGGAGAGGAACTGTGAGAGAGCTTAGTACAGATCATCTGATCTTTGCTTGAATGACATAAGCCTTTTGGACATATGATTATCCAGAAATAACATCATATTAGGACCTTTTTGTGGAGTACTGGAGATAATGTTGCTTATTATTATGTAATGGATAAGAGCATGAAGCATATGCAGTAAACAAGACACTTAGTTGATGTTTTGTACAGAAATTGATGATTATTACCGTTCTTACTTCTGCTGGATATGCTTTAATTATACGTACTGTGAAGTCCTCAAAATTTTCATCATGGATAACACTAGTCAGTACCAACCTCTCATATAGCTCACTTGAAGCACTGCTAATTTTATGTTGATTCCTTTAGCAATATGTGCCTAATGGCAATTCATTTGGTGCCACTTCGACAGTTCCAAGCCACTTATGGAAAACCACTGCTGGCTGCTAGGGATTCTAAACGTACAGCGAAGGATTCCGAGGCAGGGGCACTTGCCATGGAAGCATTGCACAAGCAGGTTAGTTCTTTTTATTCTTTTTCCTTTTTAGAATTGTCAAAGCTGGTGATACTTTGTATGAATTGATTTAGTTCCACTTTCAATATCCCGCTGAAAGTTTTTGTGTTTGGTAGGTCATGCCTTTCCTCCTCCGCCGAACAAAAGATGAAGTCCTGTCTGATCTGCCTGAGAAAATTATTCAGGATCGATACTGTGACCTGAGTCCTGTTCAACTAAAACTTTATGAACAGTTTTCTGGTTCTCACGTAAGACAAGAAATCTCCAGTATGGTGAAGGTAAATGAGTTGGATACAAGAGAAGGAAGTACTCCACCCAAAGCATCTACTCATGTTTTCCAGGTAATATTGGCTGTGTACATTCATTCGTAGTTCTTTCCATTTACATTGCTAAATACCTGTTCTACTTTTCTGTCAATGTTTCAGGCACTTCAGTACTTGCTAAAACTCTGTAGCCATCCTTTGCTTGTTGTTGGTGAAAAAATTACGGATTCGCTCTCACACCTTTTATTAGAACTTTTCCCTTCCAGTTTTGACCTCATTTCCGAACTGCATAAACTTCATCACTCTCCTAAATTAGTTGCTCTTCAAGAGATCCTAGAAGAGTGTGGAATAGGTGCTGAGGCCTCAAGTTCTGAAGGCTCGCTTAGTACTGGACAGCACAGAGTCTTGATATTTGCACAGCATAAAGTAATTATCGTAAATTTGATCGTCTTCATGGATCAACTCTGTATGCTTTCTTTATGATCTGTTATATGACGATGTCTACTCATGCAGGCCTTTCTGGACATAATCGAAAGAGACTTGTTTCAGGCGCATATGAATAAGTGAGTCCTCCACTCCATTACTTTATACTATTTGGAAAAGTAATCGTAGGTTGTGCCATTTTTTCCATTCAAGATGTTCAGTTCTATGAACTCAAATGAATATTGCCTTCCTTTTGATAAGGGAAAATATTTAAAGGTCAGCAATATGTTCTCATATTGTGCCATTCACTATCAATGGCCATACCTGTGATTAACCATTTGTGAGTTCTTTCACGACCTCAACTAATGGTCTTTCCATTGTTGCATTATATCTAAAGTTTGATTATATGTTATGTTTAGGTCAATCAGCTGGGTTAATATGTCAAAATACTTAATAGTGTTGAGAGTATTATTATGAGTATTGTTATAGTTGTTAAGAATAATAGGGTAGTATGTGTAAATTGTTAATAGTAAGAGGGTGTATGTGTAATTATTATTATTGTAGGTTAACTATAAATACAAGTTATGTATGAGAGCTAGGTTAAGTTTTAACCTCTCTCTTTCTCTCTAATATTGTGTTATGTTATTTCACTCAACTTAACATGGTATCAGAGCTAAACAATTTTAAATCTAAATATTAAATCAAGGGTTCTTTGTTGTTGTCGTTATGCCCACTGTCGTCGTCGTCGATGGTTGAGTGTAACGAGGAGGTTGACGTTGGTGGTGTCTCGTTCAAGCACTGTGGAGTGGTTGTCTGGTAGTGGTGGTGGCAGTCGCAGTCGACTAGGTTGATCGACTAATGGCTGTGGTGGTAGTCGAATAGGTTTGGGTGTGCCATTTGTGTCGTGTGGTTGCGTGGTGGTGTTGTGTGGCTGCGTGGTGGTGCTGCTGTGTGAATAGTGAGGAGCATTAGGGTTTGTTTCGGAAGAAGACAACCTCTTGGGTTGGGTTTGGGTTGCTGAGTCTAGATCCAAGCCCAAATCTAGTAAAAAAAAAAATCCAGAACTGCATGTTCCAGAACCGGTTCAGTCCCGGTTCAGTAAGATTTACATCGGTTCAATCCCGGTTCAGCAGTCCAGTGGCCATTCCTTGGCCGGTTCAGCGGTCCAATGGGCATTTCTTGGCTGGTTCAGTAGTCCAGTGGCCATGCCTTGGTTGGTTCAGCGGTCCAGTGGCCATTTCTTGGCCGGTGCAGCAGTCTAGTGGCCATTCCTTGGCCGGTTCAGCAGTCCAGGAGCTCAATTCAGTCCGGTTCAGTCTTCCAAAGAGCTTAGCTTGACTGGTCCAACCTCTTTTTTCAGTCCGATTTAGTCTTGCAACTTTTTTTTTCTCCTAGTTTAGCATTGTCACACTTCTTGTTTTCTATTTGCTGCACTATTATGAAACCCAAACAAGANGCCTCTTTTTTCTGTCCGATTTAGTCTTGCAACTTTTTTTTTCTCCTAGTTTAGCATTGTCACACTTCTTGTTTGCTATTTGCTGCACTATTATGAAACCCAAACAAGATACCAGGTCCTTTACTCCATCTTTGTCTCCTCCGACTCTTATCAATGGTCCCATAACCTCTGTCAAACTTAATGGGACTAATTACACTTTATGGTCCTGATCTGTTTAAGTCTTTCTTCGAGGCAAAGGATTTAAGAAATATCTGGTGGGTTCTAAACCCAAGGAAGACACTCCTGGGTATGATCAGTGGGAACAAGAGGATGTTCAAATTATTTCTTTATTGTTGAATAGCATAGAGCCCAGTATTAGCTCTTCTCTACTCTATCTTGATACTACCAAAGAGATATGGGATCACTTGACCACTATGTATTCTAATACAGGTAATTTTACCCGTGCGTATGAGGTGTGCAAGGAGTACNACCACTATATATTCTAATACAGGTAATTTTACCCGTGCGTATGAGGTGTGCAAGGAGTACTTCCTGTTGGAGCAGGGCACTCTGAGCCTTGCGGATTATTACTCTCATGTTCGGGGAGTCTGTGAGGAGATGAAGACTTACCATTCGTTTACTACAGATGCAACAGTTTGACAAAAGCAACATGAAGACCTGAATGTTGCTCGATTTTTGGTAAGATTGAAACCTGAATATGAGGCTATTCGTTCTCAGATTTTGGGTGGATCTAGTCTTCCATCACTGATGGAGGTTTTCTCTCGTTTACAGTGTGCTACACTGTCTACTCCTTCAGTCATTGATCATGGTGTCTCCACTGATTGCTCAACTCTTGTGATTCCTAATAGCCATAGTGATGGTTATCGAGGTGGATGTGGTGGTCGCGGAGGTCATACGGGTGGTCGTGGAAGTCTTAGTGGATCCCGTTCCTGTACTCAATGTGGCCGTGGAGGACACACTGTTGATTTCTGTTGGGATTTACATGAAAAACTTTCTGGTACTGCTAATCAGGCTTCTTATCAGGATGACACCTCTGTTGTTGCTTCCATACCTCGGTCAGCTCCACCAGACACTAGGTCGGTTACTATTACATTGGGTCGAGAGGAGTATGCTCAGTTCCTGTTCCAGCAACAGGCTGTTTCATCTCCCTCCATTACTACTTTTACCCAGTCAGGTACTGCTCCCACCTGTTTATTATCCTCCATTCGCAGTCCTTGGATCATAGACTCTGGCGCCTTTGACCACATGACTGGTGCGTCTGTCGTTTTCTCTACTTATCAGTCTGCTACTTTCACACGTAGTGTTACTCTTGCTAATGGTACTTGTTCTAAAGTTTTAGGTCTGGGGACTACTCACTTGAGTCCTGATATGCCCCTGTCTTCGGTGTTATTTGTTCCTCAGTTTCCTTTTAGTTTACTTTCTATTAACAAGATTACCCGTTCTCTCAACTGTTCTGTAATTTTTTATCCCTCTTATTGTGTCTTTTAGGATTTCAAGACGAAGAAAAAAATTAGTACGGGGCATGAAGCTGGTAACCTATATTACCTTGATTTTGATTCATCTACCTGAACTCTACAGACCTCGTTGTCTCCCCTTCAATGGCATTGTGGTCTTAGACATCCTTCTCTCCAGAATCTGAAGCGCCAAGTTCCCAGTCTTAGTTATATATCATCTTTGTCTTGTGAAGCTTGTCAACTTAGTAAGCATCACTGTGTGTCATTTCAGTCTAGAGTCAATAATTGTATATCTAGTCTATTTGAATTAGTCCATTCTGATGTATAGGGTCCAATAAATAATATTTCATCTAATAAATATCCTTATTTTGTGACATTTATGGATGATTATTCTCGTGTGACTTGGTTATTTTTGATGAAAGCTCGGTCTGAATTACTCTCTATATTTGAGACTTTTCGTAAAAAAATAAAAACTTAGTTTGGTTGTCGTATACATACTTTACGTTCCGATAATGCTCGGGAATATGAATCTGATCTTTTTTTCGTTTATCTTAGTAAAAACTAACATTATTCATCAGACTTCTTATGCTTACACCTCTCCACTAAATGGTATTGCTGAACGCAATAACCGCCATTTGTTGGAAGTCACCCGTGTCTTGTTATTCCAGATGAATGGTCCCCGATATCATTGGAGTGATTCTGTTCTTATTGCCTNTAAATGGTGTTGCTGAACGCAATAACCGCCATTTGTTGGAAGTCACCCGTGTCTTGTTATTCCAGATGAATGTTCCCCGATATCATTGGAGTGATGCTGTTCTTATTGCCTGTCATCTTATTAATCGTATGCCCTCCTCTGTGTTAAATGGACAAAGTCCATATTCTGTTCTGTTTTCTGGTAAGCTCTTATTTTTCCTGACTCCTAAGATTTTTGGTTCTGTCCGTTATGTTCACAATTTGGGTCTTAGATTTGACAAACTTGATCTTCGAGCTACTAAATGTGTATTTCTTGGTTACTCCCGCACGCAGAAGGGGTATCGTTGCTACAGTCCTTCTCTGCACCGATACTTTACTAGTGCGGATGTCACATTTGAAGAATCCGTTCCATACTTTCTAGCACCTTCTCAGCCTTTGAAATCTGGACTTTGGCTTCTCTCCTATACCACCATCAAATATTCTGCTGCCCACTGTGTTACCATCTATTTTACCTCTCTGTGTCTACTCTTGCTGTCCTCGCCCATCGACTGAAATGTCCGTACTGTCTTCTAATCCTGGAACATCAGGTAATTTAGATTTTTTACCTATTGCTCTTCGCAAAGGTACTCGTTTGTGTGTTACTAATCATCCGATTGCTCATTTTGTTTCATATGATGCCTTGTCTCTCCTGTCTTCTCTTGTTTTACTTCCCAATTATCTGCTATATCTATTCCTAAGTATTTATAGGATGCATTATCTAATCCAGGTTGGAGGAAAGCTATGGAGGAGGAGGAGATGGATGCTTTACATCATAATGGTACTTGGGATCTCGTTCTTTTACCCTCTGGTAGACGAACTGTTGGCTGTCGTTGGGTGTATACTGTTAAATTTCATCCAGATGGTTCTGTGGAGCGTCTCAATGCCCTGCTTGTTGCAAAGGGCTTTACTCAAACTTATGCTGTTGATTATGAGGAGACTTTTTGTCATGTTGCCAAAATTTCATTTGTTCGTATCTTGATTTCTTTGGCTGCTAATTTTGATTGGCCCTTGTTTCAGTTAGATGTCAAGAATGCCTTCTTACATGGTGATTTGGTTGAAGAGGTCTACATGGAGCAGTCACCTGAGTTTACTGCTCAGGGGAAGTATGGTAAGAGTGTATGTCAGTTAAAAAAATCTTTGTATGATTTAAAGCAGTCACCGAGGGCATGGTTTGGTAAGTTTTCAGATGCAATTTTAGAGTTTGATTTTTTTTGATGTCAGACAGATCATTCTGTGTTTCATAGGCAGACAGATGCTGGGTATATCCTATTGGTGGTCTATGTGGATGATATTGTGATTACTGGAAATGATTCTGAGGAGATTGCCAAGTTAAAAATATTTTTATAGGATTGATTTCATATTAAGGATTTGAGAAAACTCAGATATTTTTTGGGTATTGAGGTGGCTCGATCTAAACAGGGTGTTTGTTTGTCTCAGAGGAAATATGTACTTAACATGTTTGAGGAAGCAAGTTTGCTGGGTGGTAAACCGATTGATGTCCC